TTAAGTGCATCACTATATCAACCAAACAGGATTTTTCCTATTGGAGTGGTCACTCCATCCTCAGGTCTTTCATTAGATCTGTTTCTAGTTTGGCATGCTAATGATTGTTGCCTCCACCACTCCTCTCAATACCAAACTTCCCCACTTCTGTTACTCAGTACCTCACCCAGCTGCTCTTGCTGTTGATGCCCTCAGAAAGTATGGATCTGATCTCATTCTTTATGTGTACCTTCTCCCACAAGTCTTGGCCTTGATTCATGACTCTTTGGCAAGTCCTTTTTGTATCCCCCCCCTCTTGGTTGATTCAGTCTTGATTTCCTCCCTCTTCTTCACCAATTGATGTCCAGGGCATATCTTCCTCTGCCTCAGCCATTATCAGTCTTGGTACAACCTCATACTCCTGCCTTTCATCCAAGAGTGTCATCCATTTTTTTTCACTCATGTGATTTGTTTGGTCCTTTCCTCAGTGATCAAGTTTCTCCAGCCATCTAGCCCTTTTTTATCTTGTTTGTGTTGCCCTTCTAGTCTCTCTATCAACTAAAGGTAGCCGACAAGGCCACCTGATAGCCTGTTACGGTAGAAACTGACAATCCTTGGTCAAACAACCAAGCAAAGAAGGCCTGATTGACTACCTTTTGACTTTCTTGCTATGTTTCCATCTTTTCCTCCTCTGATACTCCCACTTTGTTCTGGACCCATCTCATTCACCATCCTCCTCATTTGATTTCTTTGCCCAACTGGAACCTTAATGGGGGTTCTACAAAATATTACCCAGAGTTTGTTTGAACCATTGGCCATTTAGTGCTTACCATCACTTTCTCAAACACTATTAACTTCTTCTTGCTTGTGGTCATTGGAGATCTGACCTTTAAGCACTGGATGCCTTCTGTACTTTATTTCACAGATCTTCCTTGATCTTGTTCCCTGAACACTTGATTTTTCCTAAGACTTTGGATGGCCTTGGAGGGAGATCTTTCCTTTATTCCCATTTCTCTTCTGTTGACTTCAGCCTTCTATGATTATAATGATCATGATTGTCTTTTGTGTCCGGTTCTAGTGGTCAGGTGTTACTTGATGCACACAACTTCATTTCAAGGTTCCTGCAGTTGTTTATTCTTGTTGACATGGGACACCTCTTCTTCCAGTGGTCTCCTCTATGCTTACTTGATAGATTCATCAACCCAGCCAGATCATATATTTCTCCCTGGATGGAGATGCTCACAGGCGATATCACATCTGCCTCTTGATTCACTTTCTGGCCTTGCACTTTTGACAACCATTAGACAAGATCCTCCAGGCTGGAATGTGGACTATGCCCAACACCTTCATCTCCCATTACCGCCACCATCTGACAGTTTTGTCTTCCTCAGGATATTGTATACCTCCAGTTGCCAATCTCCAGTCTACACACTGTCTTTGATGGGTAAGTGTCTCTTTTACTTCTTTACCCATTTCTACTCATATAAGTTTCACTTCTCAGAACTCACCTAGTGGCATTTGTTGCCTCACAGGGTATACTTGCTTCCCCAAATATGCATCAAGTCAAGGGTAATGGTAATTAAACCTGTCCACCCTGGCTCCAAATGTGCCCATTGTTCGGAGGAGTTTTTCTGCAACACCAGTAAGGTGGTACAGTACTGTGCAAAAGTGTTAGGACAAGAGAATATTTTGTCATTCTTTCCATTTTATGGGGCTGATTCTTCCATGCTGTTACAGAATGCAAATTTCTATATTTTGGTAATGCTTCACTGATACCTGTTGACAGTTGAATGAGCCAGGGTGAGAATACTTATCATTCTTTAGAATTCCCATATACTTGTACCTAGGGCATGTCATAAGTTTCGGCATGAATTAACATAGTGATCAAACTTAAGGTGTGAAATAACTGTCATGGTACCCCATGCAGTGTCTTAACTATATAGAAATAAGTTAGCAAGGAGCTAACATATGGTATACTGGTACATGCTAAGAGAAATCAATTTAATAGCACTCCACAAATAAACCTTGATAAAAACCTTGATATATATTAAGTTTTGTTGTCATGCCATCGCCCAAAAAAGCGTAGAGAATTGTCAGTAGAGCAGAGACTTCACATAAAAGCTTTATGTGATGCTAGTTGGACTCTCTGACAAATTGCTGCAGACTTGAAATGCTCTCCAAACACAGTTAAGAACACATTATATTGTGAGACCAAAACAGGTAAATTTGAAAATAGGAAAGAAAGAGGAAGAACACCTAAACTCAGTGATACTTTGTTTATGCAGCCTTTTTGGAACAGAAGGAAGACTACAACTGATCTCAAACATGAGATAAACAACCATGTACCAAATGATAGAAAAGTGGCCAGATCTATAGTATTAAGAAGAATCAACGAGAATGGAATATTTGGTTGTGCAGCAGTTTAAAAACCTTTACTACAATCTCCAAATGTTGTCAAGAGACTGAAATTTGTTAAAAAGTACAAAAACTGGATTGTTGATGATTGGAAAAGGGTGTTATGGACAGATCAGCTCAAGTTTGAAATATTTGGTTCAAAATGTAGGTTATATGTGTGGCAGAAGAAAGGTGAAAGATACATACTTCAATGCATAGCATCTACCATGAAGTATAGGGGAGGCAGTGTGATGGTTTGGGGTATTTTTCTTCTGAGGCGCCAGGAGACATTTGCAAAATAGATGGAATAATGGACCAGTGCAAATACCACCAGATACTGATCTGTCATGGTATACCCAGTGGTTTGCATATTATTGGTAAAGGATTCTACTAACAAGAAGATAATGAACCCAAACACTCATCCAACCTATGAAGAAATTACTTAGCTAAGAAAGAAGCTGCTGGAGTCATTTAAATGATGCAATGGCCCCACAGGGCCCCAATCTCAGCCCAATTGAGCTGATCTGGGATTTGCTAGATCAAAAACTTGACAAATCAAAAGTTACTTTCAAAGGAACTATGGGAGTGTATTAGAGACATTTGGAGTAAAGTCCCAAAGGATACTTCGATTAAATATATTTCAACAATGGCTGAAAGACTCTGCAGTGATTAAAGCAAAAGAGGGGACACACAAAATATTGACTGTTTGTTGAACTCAGGCACTTCCACTGACTTTCTGTTGTACGAAATATGAAGATTAATAACATTTTGATGTTTCACCTGTGATTTACCTTCCACTGTTCATTGAAAGTAGCCTGAAATCTAATTTTTGGCTTTGTCTTAACACTTTTGCACTGTATTGTATATATATATAATGTATATATGTGTCTTTCATTGTCCATTCCAGATAGTACCTTCATAGCCTAACATGGAGAAAGCTACCGCCGGGGGAATATCTGCCCACCTCCTTGGCTCGTACATGCAGGCTTTTCAAATTAGATTTTCCTGTTACTCATTGCATTTTCTCCAGTAAAGGAGCTTTGAAGTGGTTAGGACTAATTGGGTACAGGTACCTTTTTGGTGTCTCCCCAGTGCAAATCCTCCCTCCCCTAGTCTTTGAGTGGAGCAGGAGAGACTGTTGCTACTTCCAGTTCTCAGCTGCTGTGTTGTTTGACTTGGAGAGTTCCTCACCAATTGTGCATTCCCTCCTGAGAGTCTGAGTGGGCAGCAGAATGTGGTGGGAAGTAGGGCAGAGGTGGCCATGTCATTGTAGTGCAGGTTACCCTCTTATATAATATGCCAGTTTCCCAGTGGTTCATCCAATGGGATGAGCAAAATATTCTCCTCCTGTGACAGCAAGGGACCTTCATCCCTGTTCCTGTACGTACATTAAGCGAATGATACAACATAATATATTCTAAGCTATACAGTTTAATTATTGTCCTAGTCACTCTACACCTCATGTCCAGCTGACCTGTTGTGTGTAAATTCTTGGTTTGTCATGAACTTTTCTACCCATCCTGTAACACATTAGCTTCTTTGCCTTCCTACTTCCCTCATGGCAAAGAGTATACCCATGCATGAAATGGATGCAATCTTCCACAAGTGTTGTTCCTCTAGGGTGTCAGATTTCATGGGCATTTCCCTTCAGTTGCCTTCTGTCAAAGTAGCTCATCTAGGTTTTTTGTAATTGCACTGGCCTCTCCACCACATCATTGTGTAGATTCTACCTACTGTGTGTGGAGAGGTAAGTGAGTTGTTTCAAACATTAACATTTTTTTTACTTGAGAATATATTCCTGATAGATACTTACCTGTTTGTACACCTTCCCACCCTTCCTCTCCACTATTGGTGCACATTATTCTTTCCTCATCTAAGAATGAAATTAATTTTGAGTGCAAGTGCTTATGGGGATCTACTGCACATGGAGGAAGTGTTGTCCTTTATATTGTGGAGGGCTATTGTCACATGATGATTAAATCATGCAAAATCTCAAAGGCAGATGTGCGAGTAATAGATACTTTGTGAAGAGAGGTATTTATCAGAAATATATTTTCAAGCAAGGAAAATGCTAAGTTTTTCGTTTTATGAATAAGACTTAAAGGCTTCATTGTTATGATTTCTAACTTACACAGTTTCTTCAATGGAAACCCAGATGAATGGAAAGCACTCTTACCTTTCTAGCAGAAGACCCAGGTTTGAATGTCAGCTGCTGTTACCACACACCCATTCATTCTCTGGACTTAGTTGAAGACAGAAGCAGATTAGCAGACAAAATTTAAACTAATTAGCAATTATTATTGAAAAAACTTATTGATAGTCACAATTGTATAGGCTGCTAATCATGGCACAAATTAATATCCATTTGCTACAAAATTGTCATAAGTATTTAAAATAAATATTCTCTGTGTGTTGTATTTTCAATGACAACTGAAAATTTCCATTAGTTGTTCAGGTTAAAGTTGTTACTTTGGATAATTATTATTATCTAGAGCTTGAAATAACCATTTCTTTCACTATTCCTTAAATAGAAATAATAAGTTTTTGATGCATTTTGTTAAATTTGTAGAAACTGCTAATATGCTAAAAGTCTTTTTTTTTTTTTTTCCAAAACTAAGCCACATAAATCTTGGAGGTTACAATAGCTTGTCACTATGTGATATGCATTGTATGCTAACATTATACTTGCATTGTTTGTCATCCTTTGTAATAGGTTTTCACCTGTAAACTGCCCTTTAGGAAGTTCTCTTTTGTATTAGGCTAATATAAATGTTTTGAATGAGAAAATATTCTTCTAGCCAGAAAGGTGGACTAAAATATGTATGCCCTCACTGAACATAAAAATGACATGTAAAACAACTGGAGATTATGATATTTTTATTGTTGTAGTATTAAGCTATATATATATATATATTTATAAATATATATATATATGAAGCTTAAAAACGTTTTCTTTGTGGTAAACTTTTTATTACATTTTGAATGAATAATGCTATATTTATTAGTGCTATAGTATGACACGGTTAAGAAGCCCAAGACAAAATTTTAAGATACTTACTCTTCATGTTGAGTTTGGACTTGCAAAAGCATCATGATAGATTACTGATGGCAATCTTCAATTTTAATTATTGAGGAAAGATATAGAGTGTATATTGAATGTAACTTCAAGAGAATATGCAGCAATCAACAAATCTTAAGCTGTTATATCGTACACAGGAATTATACTTCTGAAAACAACTATTGTTTGACTTCCATCAACTATTTTCAGTTATTGAAAGTCATTTTAAGCATCACCACTTACTTATTTTCTTTATCCACTTGAACAGATCTTTTCAGAACTACAAAACCTGCATCAATGATACCTGTGTAACATAGGTTGCTTGCTGCTGATTCTAATCTTCTTAATTTTCAAAGCTTTGTGGTAGTTTTCTGTATGATAATTTCTAATTAATGTACTTTTAAAGCTATTGTTATTTTTTTTTCCACAGCATCAATTTCAAATGCAATTAAACAGAAAATGAGAGGTTGTTCCAGGGCCGTTAGAAAACTTGGTAGAGATTTTAATATCCTTGATAAGAAAACACAAGGTATTCCAGAAATCAAGTTAAAAGCCTGTGAAGGAATTTCTAGTACTTTGACAAGTAGGTTTGGGAAGCAGTTACATTGCTTCACACTTAATACTATATAAATTAGATCATTTTCATCTAAATTAATGGACAGAAAATCTTTGGGTATTTGTTTTTGTTGATAATAATTGTAATTAAAATTAAGTTTTCAGGAATTTTTCATAAAATGATGTGTCGTTATTTGTTCATTAATATGTAGAAACTACTGATTGAACTATCAAGCAGTTTTGAGGTTAATTGAAACAATGTTTGACTCATAAAGTATTTAAGTTTTTTGTATGTTTTGAAAATAATTCTTTCATCATTGAATATTTTGTTCAAAGTTAGATACAATAAAAAAGAAACAAAATCATAAATTTAATTTTCTCATAAAGAGAAGAAACTGTTAGTCTCTGTTAACCCTTTGCTATGGGTAGGTCAAAGTGTGTGACTTTTTAGTTAAATTCAAATTTAATTAAACTACTTTATTATGAATTCATGAAATGCATACAAATATATTAGGCATCAAAACATAGATAATAAGTCAAATGTTAATGTTTTATAAGTTTTAAGTTCTTAAGTTTATAAGGAAATATTTTAAACAATCCTCAATTTCCCCTAGTATGAGAATTGTGACATTTGTTCTCTAGGTCTTTTCTCTTCTCTAATTTACTTACCACTCCTTTGAGAAGTACAGAATTTAATGTAAATTACTCATTATAATGTAAAAATACTACTAAGGCAAAGTTTGATTTTTATAGCCTTCAATCTTATTTGTGTATGTAGTCATAAACTAGAAAATCAGACCCACTTGCCATGCCCACCAGTCACATCATCTCTTTCGCAAATTACAAATAGTTCTCTCTGATGTATTATATTGTTTTATGTATAGAGTATTGTCTATTTTGTCTTCAGTTTGAAAGTTTCCCTCACTGTATTTAGATCGACCAGCTTAAGGTAAGGTTTAAAGACTCTTAAGCCATAGTTAGAAAGCCAGATAAATTATGATAGTTATAAGATAGTGCTTGTTTTGTGCATGCTATTATTCTGTGTTCATATTTGCATAATCTAAGTAAATATAATTTAGTGTACTAGTGTCATTACTATAAAAAGGTAGGCTTAAATTTCATCAACAACTGGCAGCATAAAAATAAGAGTTCACAGATAATTGATATATTTCTTGTTCTTCATATATATATTCTTTATTTTTTATTATAAAAGTAACTAAAATGTAAAAATGAGAAACTTATTAGGTTAGATTAGGTAAGATAATGACAAATGATAATACTACTAATAAATATTCTTCAAGAGGTATGCTCAAGAACAGCATGTTTGTTATGTCATTCAGTGTAATAATTTGAACTAAGTGTTTGACTACTGATTTACAATTTGTGTGGCAGTTATTAATTAGACACAATTCAAAAGGCAATAAAACAATACAAGTTAAATTTAAACATTTATGGTCCAGTCTCTTATCAGCCTGGTCTGCTTTACTTGATTCTCCCCTGAATCCATTCCATTGATTTTTGCTCTGATTCTGGGGTTTTTCTCAACCTCTGCTTAATTACTTCTTTCAGTCGTTATGGTCTAGATTGTTATCTTCCAACCTAAGAATGCAACTTTTGAAGAACCAGTGGTCCTTGTGACTCTTTTCAGTTCTCTTCTCCATCTCACTATATGTAGCTTGGGTTTTAGTATTTCGGGAGTAAGTCTACCTGATTTCAATTTTACATTTTTGAAATCAATTAAATCAGGCATTTACCTTTCAAATACATTACCGACCACTTACCCACAACTGGGTAAATTATATAATTTCATAATGACTACAAACAAGGAGGTCAGGCTCTGCTTTCCCACCATAAGTCAATGTACGAGGGTGGTCCTTATTTTTGAAGTTTTGATTTACAACATTTCACCTTCTGAAAGTAATTCACACCAATTGTTTTCTGTATTGAATAATATTTGGCGGTTGCTTAAGGTAGTTGAAATTTGGACACTATAGGCTGGAAATGGCATGCAGAGTAGGAACAGCAGACCTTAAATGAAAGTGTGAGTTGTTGGGAATCAACATCCTCTAAAGCTAAAAAGAGTACAAGAAAAAATATTATCACTCTTGATTTTGAAGTAGCTATGAACAGAACCAAGTTGAGTGACAGAAAAGCAAAATTTTCCTTACCGCCATAACCTTGGTCTTGATGAAGATCTTGACATTATTTCCTCTAGGAACTTGTCAAAAAAGGGACAATTCCAGCTAATAGTCTTGCTTGTAGTTCACTGGGATAGCAAGCTCCTTAACGGTCTAACAGGGAAAGAACAAGTGGATCATCTGCCAGTAATCCTGTCTGAAGCAGGAGTAAACCAACTCCTAGGTGTTTCAAAGTTGATTTCTAGCACTGGAGAGACTAATGCTTCTTCTGTGACTGATTTGCTGGAAGAGTGTGAAGTCATTGATCATGTAAAGGAAGTTTGCTTTGACACAACAGCAAGCAACACTGGTCACAGAAATGGAGAATTTCTGCTGTTAGAACAAAGATTAAACAAGAATCTTCTGTATGTGGCATGCCAGCATCATGTCTTAGAACTTATCCTGACATGTGTTTTTAAAAGACTGTATGGGGCTTTCCTCTAGTCTAGATATTGAAATTTTCAATTGATTTTAGCAGTATTGGGAATACATGGTCCAGTCCAGCTATGAAACTGCAGCTGACTATGGTGAAGTAGCAGAAGACACAGAGGAAGTTAAGAATAGTGTCATTGAGTTTGCTGCAAGAAATTTCAGTTCAGCCAACTTAAAAACAATAATTGAGAACTTCTTGAACTAGCCATACACCATCTTGGTGGTATCTCTCCTCATAGAGTGTGATTTATAGCCCCTGGAGCACTGCATCATGCATGATGGATGGCCAGGGCATTATATGCCTTCCAGGTCTGGATGTTTATGGGTCAGTTTTAAGCTCTCTGACTATGAGGACTTTTGTGACATCTGCATCTTTGTTGTTCAAGTCTATCTTGGGGCATGGTTCACTGCTCTTGATGCCATTTCTGCTACTTTCAATGATCTTAACTTCCTACAGTGTCTTGTTAAGTATAAGAAGTATGAATTCTGCTCTTTCAAAATATGCCCACCAACATTTTGCTCGAAATCTGAGTGAGGAACTTATTGGTTTGGCATTCTTTGTTTCAGCTCTATCCACAGTGACAAAAGGGGCAATGAAATTTTATATGGATTTCTGGATTATGACCCTGAGTCAAGGGAGCTCAGAGAGGACTACAGGGAGGCATAACAGACAGTTCAACACTTGAATGTGGTAAACAACTTTGCAGAAAGGGGTGTGGCTCTTATTGAGGAGTATAATGCCATCATAACAAAGAAAGAAGAACAGAAACAATTACTCCTTCAAGTTTTGCAGGATAATAGAAGGCATTTTGCTAACAGTAAAAAGGAAAAAATAACAATACAAATGTTAATGACCACATCAAAGTCATATAAAAATCATATAATTATGTAATTGTACTGTTGTACATGCAATGATATAATAATATACTTTTAAAAAATCTTTTATAATGCATAACAAATATGTTTATATCACATAGTACATATGGTACCAAGCCTCTTCAGTCTAGAACTTCATTCTCATTGAGCAAATTTTAAATATGGTCTAAAATGGATGAAGCTCTTTTATACTAAAACAAAATTAGGGGATGAGAGATTTAGAATTTTTAACCTGAAATTTTACCTGTAAATACAGATCACTATACTATGTATTTTTTCTTTACACATCGCAATAAGTCATATGAGAGAGTGAAAAACTCTGGGTAATTTAACACGTTCTGCATTATGTTAAGCATTGTTACGTCTCTGTATGTTTGCTTGTTAATTCTTACAAGATACAAATCCTTTCTTTATAAAACTTGTTTATTCTTCCTCAATACAACTTTGTAATGTACTTAATTTTCACAGTTACACACACTATAGTTCACAACAATTCACTCACTTTCTATCGCGCTTAGACTTAATTGTCCGTCCCCGCAAACTATAGTTCCGATCTCTGTGTCTGCTATCCTCAGTTCCCGCCAACTGTAACGGCTGTCTTTCTTTCTCTCTGCCTGCCTCGTCTCCGCCACGTCTCTGTCTTTGTCTCCACTATTGCTTTGACTCTGTCTGTCTCTCTCACTGTCTAGCACACTTATATACGATAATATTGCCTTTTCTAGAAACTTCTAAGACTCTCAACACGTGCTACCAGCGTCAATTGATGCAATGCTGTTGCAACACACTAGTGAATCTTCTAGAATATTCGTCACGTGACCCCGCTGTCGTAACACACAAGCGATTCTTCTAGAATACTCGTCACATGACCCCCTGTCGTAACAGTATATTGAGAATTTAAAGTCACATGATTTTTGACAGCATGACAGCAAACTCAACAAAGGGAAAGGCTTTTAGTGTTTCAGAGCTATGCACATGTTGAAACAAATTTTTGATTCTGAAAATGTAAGTTTTGACCTTGAAGTGATGATAGAAGTTAATTAATAAGTAAACTAAGTTCTTGGAATTCTTTTGCTGTGTTATTTATTCAATTTAAAAAACTCATCTAATATACAGTTAGTTTTGATATTTTAATTAATGGTTAACTTAATGGAAAAAGATGATCATGAATTGTTGCATTAGCCATGACAATTATTTGAACTAAAATCACTGGAGAAACATATTAAAACATACAAAGTAAGCTATTTTAATTGTCTGCTTTTATTACAATAAGATTTTATATTTGGATGTTAACATATACTCAAGACTAGTTTTAAGGAAGTTTCTAATATATTTTTTACTGTAATGGATTTATATATATATACACGTGTGTGTGAATATATGTGTATGTGTCTATATATATATATGTATGTAATCTGCTAAGTTAACTTGGTTGGTCTACCAGACAATTTCAGTCTCACAGATTTGCATCCAAGCTCACTGGTCCAATTGAGTTATCTTGTTTTGGATGGTTAGGCTTGACCCATCAGATTACAGCTAGTAAAAT